GCTAGTTTTTACCAGAAAGTCAAACTCGCCAACAAAATGCTTGTCTGCAGCCTCGAATGAGGGAGTGATTTGCATTCTTGCCAGCACATGCTACACTTAGAATATTCTCCGATTGCCTGTACTTCTCACGAAAATAAATACAGAGAAGGTGTTTTTTTGTTTTAGTAAAAAGTTGATTTTATTTTTTAAAGTTAATTTAAAAAGATAAATTTTCAGCTCACTGGTTAAGCTCCGTTTAATTTCTTTAGACTGTGCACCCCTCCTAGGTATAAGCAATACTTTGCCCCAATGTTTCTTTCTTCGTTTTTTTTTTTTAAATTCACATTTTATCGTGGCGAAACTTATCAGATGCGAAATTCGGAACATGTCAGCATCAGCCTGACAAAAAGTCAAAAGGCAACAGTGTATCACCCACCGAAAAATGAAACATGTTGGCAGTAAAATGGAAAGATATAAATGCCAAACACAGAGAATTTGACTGATAAGTTTTTGAGGAGCAGAAAAACAAAAATCCGGGAAATAAAAATTAAAAGTCATTTAAAAACCTGGAATTTCCAGAAAACTCCGAGAATTTATGCTCATTTTTTAAATTCGTCCCTGATAAAATACCTAATTGTATTTTTTGGTGAAGCAGATGAAAGTTTGGAGTCGATTTTGAGCAACACTGAAAATATCCACAGTTCTGTGTATAAATTCTTGTTTTTCACTGTTAAAGTCTTGTGTGTAAAATTGGTATCAAAAATGCAGATGACTGAAAATAACACATGGTGGAGATACGGTTTAGGCTTTTCATGTAGCAAGGTTGAGAGATAATAGATGAAAGAAGCGGCTTATTAGGGTGGCAGCGACGCATTGTTAAAGCAAGACAAACCGCCAGTGCAATGAAAGGGTCGGTTTGACGGATTGTAGAGTTATGCGAATGGGAGAAACCCTAAATAGAGGATAAAGCAAAGGAAAAACGTAGCGATGGCACAAAATAGGCAAAAGGCCATTGAAGAGAGCAGTCTGCAAAATAGTAAAATGCGGATGAAGCGAAATGGAGAATTACCTGCGAAGTGTTGTAGTGCCCGTCCAAAAATTTCAGTTTGTCAACGTAACGCTCACGAATAATTTTTCCTAACTTGACATGTTGCTCCATTCCGCGCTGAAAACCGAATACCAGGAATTTTGATGGAATACTGATGAAATGGAATATTGACGATATTGCTTTCACCTTAGTTTCAGGGGCCGAAAAATACCAAAAAATCAAAAGTTAAAACCCCCTCCGTATTCGCTCCTTGTGAAAGGTGTAGGCATTCGGGAAGTAGCATGAGTGGCAGCAAATGTTAACAACAACCACTTGTTAGCAAGCCTATTGACAGTACTTCCTAAGACCGATAAAATAATTGGCCAACGCGCGAGCTGCCCGTGCGAAGCTGCGTTTTTTGCATAGCTCCCCTCAGATTTTTGTCGCTAAATGCACCGGTTTTTCTGGCAGATGCTTCTAGCTAAAAGAATTTCAGACTGGCCGCCAGGACTGTCAGGAAACATCCCTCAAAATTCCAGTCTTCTAGCTTCTCACGTCCCCGAGTTAGCAATTTACCCGAAAGAAACCTTCACAGGCCCGTACGTAGGTACCAAGCTTACCCGCGGGCAGGGTTTGAACTCGTTAATACCTACTTGGACGGGGAACATTGCCTTAAGATTTCAGCGTTCTAGTTTCACTGATCCTCGAGTTATGAACTTACCCCAAAAAAATTTTGGCGGGCCCGTGCTCGGGTACCGTGCCTACCTGGGGGATGGGTTTCAGTGCATTAATACGTAGCTGGACGGGGAACATTACCCTAAGATTTCAGCTTTCTAGCTCCTCAAGTCCCTGAGTTATGAACTAACTTGAAAAAAATTTTGGCGGGCCCGTATGCCGGTACCACGCTTATCTGGATGGATTTGTGTGCATTAATACCTAGTTGGACTGGGAACATCCTTTTAGGATTTCAGCGTTCTAGCTTCCCAAATCCCTGAATTATGAACATACCCGAAAAAAATTTTGGCGGGCTCGTACGCTGGTACCACGATTACCGGGTAGATGAGTTTCAGCGCTTTAACACCTACTTGGGCGGAGAATGTCCTCCTGTCAGCCTTCTAGCTTCTCAGATCCTCGAATTATGAACTTCCCCCATAAAAACTTTGGCGGGCCCGTACGCGGGTACCACGCGGGTGTTGGCGCCCATATCGGGGGATAGGGTCGGCACATGCATGTGGGCTAATTTTCCGAAATTTCAGCCCCGCAGCTTTTATAGGTCTTGAGAAAAAAGTGCGTGAAGGATGCACACACAGACACACGGACACACAGGCAACCCCTCGTCAATATGAGTTTTATGCATCGCATAGCAGCAAAAAACGCATAAAATGTATGCTGTTTTAAAAACAGATATACAATAACAGTACTGCCAGATTGATGCTGGGAAACAAGGCGGTGGTGCGAAGGTAGTAGCCGAGATCTGAAGACGAGTGGCTCGGTCCCTCTCATCTCAGACTCATTTGTAAAATAAAGTTTCATTCACGAAGGATACAGTAGGACCGTAGGCAGAGCTGCTCGTACTGTAGGTGACAGTTTAACTCCACTAGTGAGATTCTCTTTACGATTCGTTCATTCGTTTCGATGGTGAACTGATACTGGCGCTTGCCGAGGAGTCAGTCCTGTCACAACTTTGTTTCTGATTCCTTGCAGAAAAATGCCATTGACAGCTTGTCAGCAAGTGTTTGCAACTGTTTCGTGCTGCCACTCGACTATTTCCAAGTTCTTCAATCCGTCATAAGCGAATGACGAAGGTGTGCTTTATTTGCTAGACCGCTTGTACGTTTGATACACGGTTCTGATGATGAGCTTGGTAACTGAGTCATATGTTCTAAGTCATACATTCTAGGGCCTAGTAACTGAATCTAACAGATATGCGGCGAGTAGGTGGCGAAAATCATGGAAAAAAAAAACTCAGAACACAGCTTTCGCCTCAAAAATCATTCCTCTTCTAGTCTTTTGGCTAGCTAACGTGTCAAAACTACAGCAAGCTTACCGCGGTCAGTTCTCCGAGCCCTTGCGGCCATTCCTTTTCCTTTGTCGTATCACCCTTACATATTGCTAATGGAGCTCGATCGCCATGCCTCCAGGCCTCAAATACACTTTTAGT